TCGAATGAGTTTACCTTGGCCTACCATCAAACTGAATATCTGTTACTCGATTCTCAACAGTTAGAATCAATTTTGCCCGCATGGGGAGCAGATCCTGATAATCCTGTTCGTTTATACCATGTCCAATTTTCCTACCTTCATCTTACCAATCAACCCTCCTATGGTACTTGTCTACCATCCACCTCCTTTTTGAGGCAATTTACAGAGATCCTGAGAGTTGTTTGAGGGATAGCCTCTCCCTGATTACCTCCATGTTGGCACATTTGTCTTCTTCGGCTCTATCTTTGCGCATGTGGTTTCTCTGTTGTTGGGATCTCCTGGGGAGGGATGCTGCTTTATCCCAGGTTTGTTTACCACATACTTATCTCTGGGACTTATGTATGGCCTCTTTTCTACAGCAGTATGTTTTGGGTAATATTTCTGAGACTTTGGAATCCCGTGTGGAGTCTGTGCAACAACAAACTACCCCTGCCTCTTTGGTGGATCATTTGTCTCATTCAAAGCCTAGACATGCCCCTATTTCTGTTTCCTGTCCAGCTCCTTCCCAGTCCTTACCTGCTCCTACTTCCAGGGGTTCTCCATCTCATCATTTTATATGATTCAGATGGACACATTGCCAACAGTACTGGTGACTACCAGGGGGAGTTCTTGTCCAGTGGGGGCTTGACTGATTTTGTTCCCTTTTGGAGAGTTTTCACTACAGATCTGTGTGGTATTTGGGTATTATTTGAAGGACTTGTCATCCATTTTCTTTCCCCCTCCTCCATTGTCTCGGGTACCTTTCCATTGCCTCAGGATCCTACCACCAGTCAACATCTGTCTGAGGCAGTACAAGATCTTCTCCCTCAGCAGGCTATTGAGCCTGTCAATCATCCTTCTCCAGGTTTTTATTCCAGGCTGTTTGTGTTATCCAAGAAAACTGGGAGCTGGTGGCCTGTGATCGATTTGTCCTGCCTCAATCAATTTTTTGGTTCTACCCCGATTTATCATAAAGTATTTTATCACCCTCAGATGGGCTTTTTCTCTGGATCTGTGTATGATCAAGGTGGATGTTACAAATGCTTACCTGCATGTCCTGATATCTTGTCAGTTGAGGAGCTATCTTCAGTTCGCTCATCACGGAGTAGCTGATCAATTTTGTGCCCTGCTCTCTGGCCTTGTTTTGGCCCAGTATATCTTTTGTTGGGTGCCTAAGGCTTTTGCCTGACATTTGCACTTACATCATTACATGAATAACTGGCTTCTGTTAGTTTGTTCCAAACAGGAGTTTGCCCATCACACTATCTTCTACTCCTGGAGGCAGTTCATGTGGGTTGGTTAATCAAATTAGAGAAGTCATTTTTTATAGCTACCCAATATCTTGTCCATTTGGGTGTCTTTTTTCAACACTCATCTCAGTTCGATGGAGTTTTCAGTTCTTCACACCCTTACTGCTCCCACTCTATAGTTTGCAAGGTTCTCTTGCTTTTGGGGATGTAGTCTTCCAGGGAAACCCTTATGCCCTTGGGTCGAGCTCATATGAGGTCTCTTCAGTGGGCTCTGCTTGACCAGTGGAACCTTACGGAGGATCCACTGGAGGCCCCATTTTCACTTCCACCTTCCCTTGTAGGCAATCTGCATTGGTGGTTGGACAAGACTGACATGTCGGTGAGTGTTCTGCTTCCTCCCCCTTGTCTAGATTTGCATATCTTCATGGACTCTTCCTTTCAGGGCTGGGGGAATGGGTCGATCAGCAGGAAGCTTCAGGTCAGGGGTCTCCAACCAAAAGATCTTACCATATCAACATCCTGGAGATTCTGGCTATACATCATGTGTTTTGTATCATTTTCTTCATCTTGCCAGGTATCGTTTGGTTATGATCCATTCTGACAATTCTAGAGTGGTGGCTAATATCAATCACTAAACCAGCACCCATTCTCATTCCCTTTGTGGTTCAACCTTGGTTCTCCTTTTTTTGGGGACCACAAGCTGGGTATTGATATCCTTGCGTGTCATATTTCGGATGCATTCAATCTTGTTGCAGATCATCTTTCTCGTCCCAACAAAGTTTATCCAATGGAGTGGTTTCTCAATCCTCTTGTTTTCCAGTGGCTATGCCTTCAGTGGGGTACTTCTCAATGGATGCATTTGCCACATTCCTCAATTCCAAGTTACCTCTGTTTTGTTCTGAAAAACTGTCAAATTTTGTGAAGATATACACACTATATTGAAAGTTAGAAGTATTAAATATATAAAGACTTTAATCAAACACAAAGAGGTCACGTGGTCAATCAAATTGACTGAACCTGTGTTGAGAGAGTTACTATGCCTGTTCCAGACTGTACTCACACATGTACTTCATGGGTAAAGCAGAAGGGGATAGTTGCCCATCCCTGTCATACCTTTGATTGAATAAATAAGGTATGGTCTGCTTTTCAAAATAAGGTCTTCATGGTCACCCATTGCACTGTCTTCAATGTTGACATTCCTCCAAACTCTCCACTGCATTTTCTCCCCCCCTTTTTTTCTTCCAGTGCAGTTTGGGAGTCTTTACCAGGGAGGCATCCTCCTGAATGTGATATTGATATACGATACAAATAATGTTACAGTTGAGAGTATGGTGGTAGTGTTATTGTTGTAGATACATGTTCCTAGATGCTCCATTTCTGAACAGGTTTATCTGAAGGAATGTTGTATCTTTGGAGTGAGCTGTTGAAATACAGTTCACCCATTCAATTGGAATCCCTCGTCCTACCACCACAAGAATGTCGGTTCCCAGTGTCTGGGTGTTGGATTCAGAGCTTAACCAATCAACATAAGTCCTCACACGTCTTATAGGTGTCTCTCTGCCTCACTCAATCATACTCTTGTTCCCTTCACTTATCTTGTGGGTAATGGTGGTTGGACGTGTCGATTAATACGGTTCTTCTTCTTTTGCTATTCCTCGATTTTTTCATATACCTGGGGCAGTTCGTGACTGATGAATTTGAGTGAGTTAGTTTCTCTTATCGAGACGTCTTTTTTATGCTGATTATCCGGATGTTGGGTTCCCTGATCATTCGAAGAATTTATCACAAAGCTATCATGTGTCCCATTCACAGAGTGGTGAATTTGAGATTTCCTCCGTTCTGCTGAACTTGAGGTGAAGACGGTATGATATTCTCTCCTCCATGCACCAGATGGCTGGTTCTTGGATTGTAGTTGACCTAACGCCAATATGATCCTCTTTCCTACCTCAACATGGATATCAGATCCCGGTGGCTGGGTTTTGATTTGTAGTTGACTTGCTGGTAGTATGATCCTACTTCCTACACTGCACATGGATATTGGTTTCCGGTGGTTGGGTTTTGGATTGTAGTTGACTTACCAATCATCATCCTACCCTGTGTGGATGTCGGTTCCTGGCAGCTGGGTTTTGGATGCAGTTCACTTGCCCTGAATGGTTTGTTGCACCTTAGCCACTCTACACCTTGGGGCACATTCTTTTACTTTCATCCACATTCAGTACTATATGGGATTGAGATTTATTATATGATGGTTCGGATCCTTATCCCACCATTGTTCTCTCCTGTATAGATGTGCTCCTTTATTTTTCTACCCACGTCTACAACACCTAATTCCACACTGAGTGAAAGGTATACCTGATACAGATATGGTGTGGTCTCCCATTTATGATCCTGTGCTGTGAGGATCTATTCTTTTAGGGTTTTATTTGCACACTTTCAAGGAATGCTTCTTTGTTCTTCCTCTCGCATGAGTCCCTCTAACGATTCAGTGTGGGATTCTAGTTATTTATAGAAGCGGAGGTAATGTACTGTATGGGAAGTCATAATTCTCCTATACTGAAAATATATTTCTGATTGGTACTTACCTTCTCTCACACTTTCCACCCTTCTTCCCCACTGAAAACCTGTGCTTTCATTTTTTACCAAAACTCAAAGGGATAGTTCGATAGAATGTAATAGAAGGAGTCACATGCATCAGGAGTGTGTGTAGCACACTATTGGTGTAGGGTTGTCGCATGATGATTCACATGCAAGATGCAGTTGAACCAGTTGATTGTAAGTACATGAGAGCTCAAGGCTTGTGGCATGCAGAATTATTTTTTGCATATAGAGAGTAGTACTGAACTAGAATAGCTATTTATGTGAGATGAGGTAAATACCTATCGGAAATGTGTTTTCAGTACAGGAAAATTATTACTTTAGAAATATTTTAGACATTTTGAGATAAGAATTGTATAAATTAAGAAGAAACTGTGTAATGCTGAAAATGTATCTGTATCAAATGTATTTTTGATAAAAGGGATCTGTTAGTTTTGTAATATTTTTATGCATGTAGAGAAAGTATTTTATTGTAAGATGCAGGATTTCTAATAATTGCATGAAAAATAATGATAATAGAAATATATTAATGTGCATACACACGTATACATACAAGTGGAAAAAACACAAAGATGATTAAATAGTTGAGGATAAATAAGCAAAATAATATATTTTAGGTAAAATTCTGTTGGTTAAGATTAGAGGTATAATACCTGACCATTTAAATTGTTTTGATAGGCTTGACAAAGTGTTTGTTCAAAACATCAGGGAGCAAAATTTTTTACTTCACTGATATTATTTTACCTGTTTAAAATTTTCTGTAATATTTGATAAGAAAAAAAATTCTAATCTCGTCTGTTATAAATTTATTTCCTTATTAAAAATGATTCATATTAATTAAGGATATATAACCTGTTATTCTGGCTTTGAATTATCTTTATTGGTATCCTTACTTAAATGTATCATTTTCAAAGTTACTAGTTGAAATGAGGTTTTCAAATATTGTTCTGAGTGAAATGTATGGTATGTTAATAATAATTCAGTATATTTGTTATTTATTGACAGTAAGGAACCTAGATGTTAATCATTAATTATTTATTTCATTTTTTGAAATACAAGTGCAGTTACTTAACTTGAATATTACAGAAGTTGGGCAGGTACAACTAACTTTTGACTGATTTATGCATTTCATTACAGAGTCCTTGGAATCAGTTTTTTCAAGACAGTGAACTAAAAGCAACAATAAAGCAAGATGTCATACGAACGTAAGCTGGAAAACGTTACATACATTGTACTTTTCTTTGTTTAGAATTGTTTAATAAAAAATTTTCTCAGCATTTTCTTTATAAGCAAGTTCAGAAATTTTAATTTTTCCAGTTCCATAGAGTGTCTTAAAGTTATCAACTAGATTTAAAAAAATGCAGAAATTACTTTTATGTTACTCCCACTACCTACTTGCAAATCAATTGTTATCTGTCTTTCTTCCAACTTTTTGTTGAGGGTGTGAGTTGATGAGGAAACAAAACTTTCTTTTGATTATTTTTTTGTTTGCATTATCTTTTGGCAATCTGAACTACTTGTTCCATGGATGTGTGTTTTTGAAAGAATTAACACTAAGCTTACAGGCACTCTGTTCTGCATATGTCATGAGGTTTTACTGAGATACATTCAAAATTTAGTTAAGCAACATTACTATCAATGGATGTTAATGATATTAGCATTATAATTCAATGTTTTATACCAAGTTTCAATTCCTTTATTTTAAAGAAATTAAAAAATACTGTTAATCTTTGGTTTTGTTGTCCAATGATGCACAAACATTTACAAGTCTTAACATTTGGTTTGTGTAACTTAAATAGTCCTTCACGTACATTAAACGTCTTTGTCTAGAGAGAAACAAGGCTAATTGTTCTTAGTGCCTTAGGGGAAGTTCCGAGAAAGAAGAAATAAATTTCTTGGACTCTTCACAGAAGCCACACCAAATTTCTATTCTTAGACTTGCGAATCACAAGTTGTGATTTTGCACTTAACTACTTATTTATGTAGATATTTATAACCAATAGAAAGAGCTCATTTTGAACTACAATCTTTCAATGTTTATTTTAAAATTAGCTTGCAGAATTCCTTACAAAATATTTCAAACCACTCTTAGCATTTTTGCTGCTTTTGTTTTCACTAGCACTTAGCATTGTTTCTTGCCTAGAAATATGCCAGTTAAACAGACAGTTAAATTGTATGTAGGTTTTAGTTTTATATTTAAGTTAATTATGTGTTATTTATGTTTTAAGTTGCATATTTTAAAAGTTTAATACTTTTTTAAAATATAACCCAAACATTCCTTGGTTCATGAGGTGTAGTGTAGTTCGCAAGTGCAACAACAGTCAACCGAAGCTAACATATCTCTGTGAGGATACCATAATATTGCCCAAGGACATCTTTTGACATGTGTCACAAAAAATAATAATGCTAAAGGACAGGAAAGGAAAATAAAACTTCCAGTATGATACCTTACCTCCTATCACATAATATCTTTTCTTGTTTAGTGCTGCCCTCTATATGCACAAATTTCACTTGCCAATAGCCTTAATACCCCCCACTTACCATCAAATGTTTAAATGTGATACAGCTGCACTATAGCATGCAAATAAGCATGTGATAACCCTCCACCAATAGTATTATGACATACCCTTCTGGCACAGCTGGCTCCCTCTATACCATAGAGCCCAATTTTCACTTCCCAATTCAGCATAGTAGAGTGCAGATGTATCTAACTTTCACTCATATTTGTTTTGAGTTTTTTGTTTCACAATTTGTTAAACAACTAGCTTTGTTGTTTATAGTTTTATTATATTTTTGTGCAATTAAATAATGTAGGTTGATTTCTGTAGTTGTAGATTTCTGTAATGAAGTTTGAATTTTGAATTTCAAATTTCAACAACTACTACTGTTGTTACTTATGCTACTGCACCTCAACCTGCAGTTTTTCAGGCTCTGTGCTCTTCTCCTGCAGCCAGCATCTGTTCATTTAAGTTGAGCTCACCACAATATTGTGCCTTCCTCCTGCAGCCAGCATTTGTTCAGCTGAGTTGAGGTGAGCACACCACAATATTGTGCCCTCCTTCTGCAGTTCGTGGCTGTTCAGTTGAGGTGTGCACATCACACAAATTGGGCTCTATATGTTCCATTGAAGTGGTTTTGTTTTTCATATGTTGCGAGTTATGGTTTGTTATGCAGTCTGCTGTATCTCCTTATACCAGACCAGATATTCCTTTTCTTGTTGAACATGAACAGAATGACAAGATATGGATAGCCTGTTTTCACCCCCTTCTTGTGCTTTGGCTCTTGAGTTCCACATGTGGACATGCCCAGACTGCCACAGGTTTGTCACCTTTTGTCTATATCCCCAGTGTCTTAAGATTACTCTCCTTCCCTCCTTATTTTCACCCTTTCCTTGGATTACCTAGTTTCCCACCCTCTGCAGATATCGTGTTACATGCTGATCAGTTTACAACACTTTTAAGTTCTGGGGTTGGGATGCCTCATCCTCTCCCCGTACCTTGGATTTGTACACATTTGCATTCTATCATTAGGATTTTTTTCCTTTTCTGGACTCTCAGTCCTTGGAGTTTTTGATGTAGGTATGGGGATCTGACAGTGTTACCTTTGTGAGATTTTTCCAGCTGCAATTTCCCCATCTCTGTTTGACTGCATTACTTCTTCTCCTTCCATCTACTATCTGAGGCTATCTACTGACCCCCCTGAAAGATTTTCAGAGGATACTTGTTCCCTTCTGTATTCCACATTGGTGTACTTCTCTTCCTTGGCCTTTCCCTACAAACTTGTCTTCTCTGTTGTTGGTATCTCCTGGGTGGGGATGCACTTTTAGACAGTGTGTGCTTACCCATGTCTTACGTATGGGACCTTCATATGGTTCCATTTTTATGCTAGACATTTTTTGGAGATCTTCTTGACTCTCTGGGGTCCAGAGTGAAGGCTGTTCATCAACATCCTTTCATCCATGGTTTCTCGTTTTTCACAGCCTTCACTTATTCCAATTCATGTTTCCCTCCCCCTCCACTCCTTGGCCTGTCCCCCTCTCCTGGATATTGGCAGCTAGTTGTCAAATTACTCATCACCAGGTCTCCCACCACCAGTGGCACTAGCTACTATATAGTAGGTTTTAGCAAGGTTGGAACATATTTTGGCAGGTTTTTGCACCTATGGAGCAAATGCACCTCACAACCTTGGGTACTTCAAATGTTATAAGAAGGACTGTTCCTTCATTTTCTTACTCCACATCCCATATTCTCTCCTCCTCCTTGGGATCCAGTTTCTTTCAGGCATTTTTCCAAAGCTGTTGGGTCTTTCATTCTCAAGGACATTATTGAACCTGTCAATCATCCTTCTCCATGTTTCTATTCCATTTTGTTCATAGTTCCCAAAAAGACCAGGGACTGGGGTCCTGTCATAGATCTTTCCAGTCGTAACTGTTTCATCCACCTTCCTAGTTTCACCATGGAGTCCTTCCTCACTCCTCATTGGGCATTTCTTTCAGGTCTTTGGATACCAAAGGTGAACGACTTGGATGCTTACCTTCACATCACAATATCCCCTACATCCAGACATTGTCTTTGCTTTGTGCACAAAGGTTGAGTTTATCAATTTCTCACTCTTCTGTTTGGTCTTGGCTTCCACACTCTTCATATTTTCTTGGGTAGTCATGTCCTATGCTCGACTCATTCCTTCGCATGGTTTGTTGTTCCACAGTTATATGGACAACTGGCTGCTGTTAGCTCCATCTCAACAAACATCTCACTTGCTCACACAGTTACTTCTTCTTGTGGCAGCTTGTGTTGGTTGATTGTGAAGCTGGGGAAGCCCTTTCTCATCCTGACCCAATTCCTTATCCACTTAATTGTGTTCTCCTATCTCAGTTGGGCTCAGCCTTCTCTTTGGTCAAGATTGATGGAGATATTAGTTCTCAAAGCCCAATCCTATTTTTCTCTTACTGCATGTGAGCTTGTTACCCTTTTGGGGACTTGGGCTTCTGTAGAAGCCCTTATTCCCTTGAATCGTACTCACATGCGTGCCCTTCAGGGTTGTTGCACAATCAATGGAATGTTGCTTGGGGTCTTCTGGTTTCAGTTATCCTACTCTCTCCCTCAGAAGTTTATTTAACCTGATGGCTCAAAAGGGACAACACAATGGTAGGAGTTCCTCTTCCTCCTCTCTGTTATAAGTTGTATCGTTTTGCTGATTCTTCTCTCTTGGGTTGGGCAGTGATTGTGATTCGAGTCGGCTATGTTCATCAATATCCTGGAGCTTCTTGTCATTTGTCGAGCATTGGATCATTTCCTACCTTTAGTATGAAGCAAATAGTCATGATCCATTCCAATAATTCAACATTGTGTCTTACATCAATTGGCAAGGGGGCACCATTCACATTTACTTTGTTTTCGAACATTAGAAGGACTATTCTGGGCCCATTCACATCACACACACCTACAAGCATGTCATGTCATCCCAGATGCACTGAATCTTGTTGTGAATTGTTGTCTTTACCCAAAAAGATTCTTCCCAGGGATTGGTCTGTAGATCCTCAGGTGTTTCAGTGGTTGTGTGCCCTGTGGAGTACTACACTTCTGGATGCACTTGCCGCCCACCTCAATTCCAAGCTACCCCTCATTTGGTTCCCAGTTCCACATCGTTTGGCTTTGGTGGTAGATTCATTTAGTCAGGATTTGGTCCAACCTCTACCTTTATGTCTATCATCCTATCTGTCTTTTTCCCCAAGTTTTATCCATTATCCAAAACACTTCATGTTGAATCCTTCTTATTGCAACTTTCTAGCTTGCTCAACCTTGGTGTCTAGTCCTTACCCTACTTCAGTCATCACCTTCTTAACCACTTCTTGTCCTCTGCTCTCTTCTTCATCAACTTCAGTTGTCTGTGTGTCATCCTGCCATCATCACACTCTGGCGTGACATTTTTCTAGTCCCTTGTGAGGAGGTTCATACTCTCAACATTTGTAGCATCCCTTTTTTTGTCATTCAGTCCATCCTTCATCCTTAATGGTGTATCAGAGAAAATGACACATGTTTTTTTTGGTATTGGTGTTTGCACCCTGGTTACTTCCCTACCCATTCTAGTGTTCCTTGTGTCTCATAATTGTTTACCTGGTCTTGATATTGATCATCTTCTCTGTCCTGGTTGTGCTCTCTGGTGCTATGTTGTCCACATGGCTTCCTCTCAGAGTTACCATTTC